ACCACCATCAACACCACCACCATCAACACCACCACCCCACTTCAAACCGAACACCGATGCGTTCAACTCAACGCCTGTCAGTCGCTGGAGTTAAGGACGACGTAGCTTACTGTCAGATAAATAATCGCAGTAGACGTATGTAGCTCTCTCTATGTCGTATTCCGGGGGGAATAGCTTCTCGTACGACTTGACTCTGTAGTTGAATATGTTCTGACCCTTCCTAGGGGACATGATGCAGCGAAGATACTTCTCTATATCGCTACAGAGTGGAAGAAATTAGACCTTACAGTTAGCCATATGAGATCTTACAATTATAGTCAAATGAGACCTTACAGTTATAGCCCAATGAGATCTTACAGTTATAACCAAATGAGACCTTATAGTTATAGCCAAATGAGACCTTATATTTATAGCCAAATGAGACCTTACAGCTAGCCAAATGAGGCCTTACAGCTAGCCAATGAGACCTTACTATTATAAGCCACATGAGACCTTACAGTTAGCCAAATGGGAGCTTAGAGTTAGCCAAATGAAACCTTAAAGCTAGCCAAATGAGACCTTACAGCTTTAGCCAAAGGTCGGCGTGGGGGTGCTGTACCTAATAAAAACCACATCACCATTTCCACATGATACACCAGATTGTGTCGCTTTGTTCTCCGTGGATGGTTGTTGGTTGAATAAACCTTAAATCGTGTTTGAAAGTGGTTGGGAATGCGATGTGAAAGCATGTCGAGAGATGACACCATCACCTTGATCAAACAAGACGTCTGAGGCAAAGGGCACTGTTTTGGAATGAAACGGTAATGAGCACGCCTTTCTCCCCCCCCCCCTGACTTCCCGGTGAAGATGTTTAAAGTCCAATAATTTCGTTTGCCGGGTAGCTCAATGAAATACTTAAAAACCGTAACGATTATACGCCAATTCAGCAGAGACATTTGCATACGCGCTACTACACACTGTGACAATCATATGCCCGCCAATTCAGCAGAGACATTTGCATACGCGCTACTACACACTGTGACAATCATATACCCGCCAATTCAGCAGAGACATTTGCATTCGCGCTACACACTGTGACAATCATATGCCCGCCAATTCAGCAGAGACATTTGCATTCGCGCTACACACTGTGACAATCATATGCCCGCCAATTCAGCATAGACATTTGCATTCGCGCTACACACTGTGACAATCATATGCCCGCCAATTCAGCATAGACATTTGCATACGCGCTACTACACACTGTGACAATCATATGCCCGCCAATTCAGCATAGACATTTGCATTCGCGCTACACACTGTGACAATCATATGCCCGCCAATTCAGCATAGACATTTGCATTCGCGCTACACACTGTGACAATCATATGCCCGCCAATTCAGCATAGACATTTGCAT